GTCCCAGCAGATCTCACCTGGGAATAATGGCTGCAGCCTAGCCAAAGGCAGGTCATGCTTCACATCCCCCAGGGAAAGAAAATTGATTTTTAAGGGGTTGTTTTGTTGCTTGGGTTTGGAGAAAAACAAACAGACCAACAAAATCACAAAACCTCAAGCAACCGAAAACATACAAGTAAATAAAAAAACCCAACAAAACCAAAACCCTCATGCATTTCTCTCCCACCTTTCAACTCAAAGGTTTCCTCACCTTTTCTAAACAAACCTAAGTGCACTTGCACTGAAAATGGCAGTATTTTACATCCCAAGCAGCTTTTGCCAGTGGCTTGCATCAGAAATCCACAGCCACACTACAGGTTCCTCTCTAGGACTCAAAGTCCTCAGAAGCTCTGACAGTAATTTGAAGGACAGTGCTCCCTTCACCACAGGGGCAGGATGAGACACCCCTACCCAGCTCCCCCAGCCAGGTCTTTTACCTGCCCTCACAAAAAATAAGTAGCTGTGATCCTTCAGCCCCCTTTCCCTCCTGAGTGTTTCCCAACAGCCATCCTCAGCTTCATTCACTATAGCTTAACTCTGTAACTTCCTACTACACCATCCTTCCTACTACAGAAACAGCCAACAATGCCCCATAGAGCATAGGAACCCCCTGCCCCACTGCAGGTGCCCAGGGGTCCAGCTATTAACCTTCCTTCTGGGAAAAGAAGGCAAAGTGTTCAAAGTATTTAGAGGATGATAGCAAACGAGACAGAGACAGAACAGCTGGGCCAGAATAGGCCTGGCTGATTAAAACAAACTAATCACAGGCAGCATTTGCTTGGCTATCCTCACACAGGCAGGTCAAATCAGCCGTAATTATGTGGTCACCTGTACTGGGTAACTTGTTATCCTGGCAGGTGCCCTAACAGCCCCCCTATTGAATCCCCGTACCAACCTGAGGAGATACCTGTAAAACTTAAACATAGTGAATTCACAGAACCAGTATACAATAGCAGACTTTTGTCTTTCATCCTGATCAGACTTTTTAACTTTACAAAGATACTTCATGCGCTTTTAGGGATCTTTTGGCTTTACATGATTTCTTGAGTAGCCATCTACTTAATGTTTTAAAAAATGTTCAAAGTCATCTGTGCCACTGGCAAAAAGCTAGGTTGAGCAACACTAGTCTTCCACACCTGTGCAAAGTTAATAGCAACCAAAAAGACTTCTTTTGCAAACAGACACATACTGTGTGACACCTGTTTAACAGCAATCAAAAGGACTTTTTATTGACAGAGTAGTGAGTGTATGTCTAACCAAAAGAAAAAAAGCAAAACCAAAATAAAACGAAAAAGAAACAAACAACCACCTCCAACACACATTCATCTACTCAGTGGAAACAATACACGCACATTCCTGTTTCTTGTCTAGTCTCATGCATTAAATTTTACCTCCTAGAACATGTGGAATGGTTCCCTTTCCAGAGAACAAGTTACTCTTCTGCTCTAGCAGACTGACTCCAACTGTGTCATGAGCAGAGTGAAGGTTTCCACCAAGCACACCCCCACTGCCAGTGCAGTTCATCAGGCAGCTACTAGGAAACAAAAATAATCCTGTAACAGAAGCTGTTTGTCTTAGCAAGTCTTCTGCTGTTGTAGGCATTCATAACATGGTATCTCACCCACAAATATACGATGTGATTCTCACATTTGCTGTTTCTTCCTTGTGAGTTATTAATCTGTGATTTGAATTTCAGCACAGACTATTTGCAGAAGAGGCCTATATATTACTACAGTCCTTTTCAAACACTCTACAGAAATTAATTAATTGATTGCTATTTAGAATGTAAAAAGTATTTAACTTGTCAGCTAGTTCTAACAAGTATTTGTTCTCTGTGAGATCACAGAAATATTTCTTAACCTGGTTTAAAGCTGCCATTACAGTAATTTGCATTCATTTTTAATAATGCACTATTTAACATGCACCTATCTCTCTGTAAGAAGTCTTTTATTCAAGGGGCCTTGTTGAAGAAAAGCAGCAGAATTCTGCATATAAGTATAATCAATGCATTTAGCAATTTATAATGCTTTAGTAACCTTCTGAACATTTACCATCTCATAGTGCAGGCAACAGGAAAGGTAATTTAACAGAAACTTACGCAGAATCAACATGCTTAGACAAATGAATTCCAGTGTTCAGAAATCAGATAAATTAATTCCAGTCTGGTTCTGATATGTTTTAAATTCTGCTTGAAGTAGGAACGTGTTCACTTATTACTTTAAAAAACTAGAATAAACAAAATATTCTAACACAACCTCAATGCTAGTACCACTTTTAACCCAATGGGTTTGTGCAATCATCTTTTTTTTTTTGGTCCAAGCACTGACTCCCTTGCTGCTACCACATTTAAATAAACCACTATTGAGGAAACAAAAAGAAAACAGAAAAATGACCTGCCCTTGCAGAGTGGAATGCTAATGCCAACGCTCAAAGGAGAAACTGTCAAAAAGAACAGCCATAACAGAGAATTCTGGGTTTGCACATTTTTATTTTATTAGGGTTTTTTACATTCTTGATGGATTTTTTATGTAACCATTATGCCACAATCTATGATACACAATGAAAATGGAAATCTGTCATTCACCATTAACATTTCTATGTTAATTTTGTTTTTGACGTATACTGTGGCACAAGTGCATTTATCATATTTCATGCAGCACTGACCTGCCTTATGCAAGCTGAAAATACAATAAACAGTGCCAGCAATATTTAGCTGCACTCAATTTTTGCCACAGAAACAAGCATTCATAAAAGCATTAAAATACTTTGGGTGACGGCTATTATCAGCTTAACGTTTTGAGCTATAGAAATGGACAAGAGACAGCATTTGCTGCTGTCAGACGCAGTACTTCCCAAGTTCATTAGGTTTCAAAAGTCTGAATTAGCTTCAATGTTTCAACCAGAGAAAAAGCCCAAGGCTATCAGCCTGATTTTAAAGGACACTACTGAGTTACATTAATATTAGACCAAGTTTGGTTGTGGATCCCATGGTAAGTACTTTACCACATCAGATTTATGCTCTGAAAGGAGGATTAGTTTTTCACCATCACATTGTCTCCAGGCCAAATAAAGGGACAGCATAAGGCACACATCCCTTTTTGGTAATCTGCTTGGACAAGTAGTACCTGATCTTGCTATGAGTTTTTAATACACCTTTTTATTTTGACAAGACAAGAAGATTTCCACCATCACCCGACACTGAATCAGGCATAAACTGTCAAGGCTTATTATGTCACAGCCGAGACAGCAGCAGCAGGGTAGAAGTTACTGCCAAGAACACAAGTATGTCCCAGGAGCATGCTCAGGCCGGGGAAGTAATTGGACATGGGGTTGAAGTCTCATCTATGTTTTTTCCACTCACTTCTTATGAGCGGATGCTCAGCAAATCTAGCATAACCCTCCAGGCACCACATGGACACAAGGCCCTTGTGCATCTAGTTACTGCTTCCTGCTTGCAACAAAGTCATGTCCTCATTCCTCCACATCCTACTACACCACTTACTCTGAGCAGTTCCCTCTCCTAGCCAGCAGAAAGAAGGGAAGAAGTCTCCTGCCACTACATAGTCTAGTGTTGCAGAAACTTGCAGTCACAAGGTTCACCCAGACTCAAGTTTTCCTGGGGCAGAGGGAACAGGACTTCTGACAACACTAGTTCAGTGGTGCACACCTGCTTTCTAGCAGCGCGGAGGAAGCACAAGCAGTGTTACCCTGAGAGCACCTTGCTGTGCAGTGTCTCCCAGGAAGCCAAGCACTCCCTCCCTCAAAGAGGAACAACCCCTGCTGTTCTGTCCCTTCCAATACTTGCTATACATCAGCCACCTTACACAGAACCAGCTCTTGAGGTTCACTTACGTCACTTATATCAATAAAAGTATATGAAAGTACATGGCAATTGATATCCTAATTAACAAGTAAACACAAAGGACAGAAGAAATCAATTACTACTTGTACAAAACCACAGCATGTGCCTTTCATCGATCAGCAACTGTTGCTTGCCCACCTTCCTCTTAATATATAAAAGCATGACTAAATCAGGAATTAGCACTTCAAAGTTGAACTAATATCTGCACAGAGATGTGAGGCAAGGATTAGAACTGGACAAAGCAGTGAACCCACTTCTTGTTGCACAGACACAAGATTCCTCATCCAAACATGATCTTTTTATGGATGCTACCAGTCTCCACAGTTCCCTAATAGCACAGAGCAACAAAGGAAGCAGCCCAGGGAGTACGAGCAGTTGGTGCTGCCACGTCTTACTTTTGCAGTCAGGTGATGAATTACTCTGCTGATCACCAACTTCTCTGTCAGCTCATGTGGTCCCGTGTAGACTTCATTGTCTGCTTAGCTACATCCAACAAACTTTCTTGGTGACTTTTATTTCTGCCTTCATCACCCTCTTCCACCTTATACCTAAGTGGTTCACACCACTTTTGTTTTCAGCCATAGTTTAGCAGCTTTGTAATGTGACTGCATTTCCATCCTCCTCACATCACCACCTTACCATCTCCTTCCAACAACCACAGCCAGTACATTTCTCTGTGAAAGCCACCTACCAACTCTTTGCTTTTTGGTTTCATAACTCCTCTCCAATATATCTAGAAATAATTGTCAACCATCTTCCTTGTAACAGTGTATCCTGTTTCCTTCGCAGCTTCCAAACGTACTCTCCTCTTTTTTTATTTTTCAGGGATGTGCATAACTATCATGCTGTCCATGCCTGCTCTACTTACAGTAATTAGACACTGGCCACAGACTGGAATTGGAGGCTTACTGGGCTAGACTTGCTGAGCAGCCTTGGATACGACACTCTCTTGTGCCAAAGAGGTCCCAATCTAAATAGACAAGTCACAAAAACAGTGGAAAGTAAGTTGGAATTACTTTTTTTCTTACAAACTGGGGAGTAAGGTGCAGATTAATGAAGTCAGGTGCTGCATTGTTTTATCTGGTAGAGAAATACATGATTTTATTATGTATAATTTTATGCCAGTAATTTTCCCCACTTTTATTTACTCTTTCAGATGCAGTGATTTGAGAGACTACTAGTTAGAGATGGGTCAGTGCCCTGCAGTTAGAATGTCTTTCCCTCAAAAGCCTCCAGGTTGAAAGCTGTATCCAAGAACCTTCTGAGCGACACCAGATGCGTGTTCTTGTTGCCTGTGGCAGCTGCAGCAGCAGGCTCTCGGCCAACATACCTTTGTGACAAAAAGAATTGGGCAGACAAACAAGGTGAGAAGAGAGACTATTTTGACACTAACAAGCATGACAGCATGCTGCTATATGCATTCAAGTCAGCTTGGCAGATTTGGACATTTAATCATCAATCTTTCTTAAATAAAAATCAATCTAAGCTGTAACATCAGTTATACCTTCTGGTCAGCTTCCCCCTCTTCCCCCCTCCCATCAATATTAAGCTGCATCTTCTCCCCCATCCCTCCCAAGGCAAGCTACACTGTCTCATAATTAGGTAAGTTGCTTTTGGCAATGAAGACTCATTCCTCTGACAGCCGCATGGCCAGATCCAAGAGTTAATCATCTAAAATAAATGCATAGGTACCTAAACTGAGCTCTCATAAGAACTGTTTCCTCCAGAAACCTAATATTTGGAGTGAAAATCTTAAAAAAGACAGAACCTTAGACAAGAAAAGATAAAAATATGTGAGAGCAAAGTGCTGTGCTAAATGGCAATAAATATAGAGCTAATCACTACTGATTTTCTTTTAGAACTACCAGGAGGAGCCAGATATGCATGATGTATTTGTGAAAGTCATCTACACTTTTCCCTCCTTCACCCAAGAAACCAAACTCACAGGTTTTGATTCATGAAGAACATGACTTCCCCGTAAATAACATCCTCACAAAAACTCCCCCAAACCAGCCAAACTTAAAAGCAAATAAACCAATCCAGGAGACAAAGCAATTTTTCTCATACCATATAGGTCGAGTGTGGTTCACAATAGTGCGGAAACGAGGTTTGACATAATCATAATATCCACTGTTTTTGTGTTCCTCCTGACACCAAACTAGATCAGCACCTGGATACTTCTCAAGTTCTTCTTTCAGCAAGTCAAAAGGGAATGGTGATATCTGGAAGGAGAGGGTAATAACTGGTAAAGCTTTCTCCTACATGATGTTTGCCCATGGTAGGAAGGCCTTTTATCCATCAGCTCTTCCAACCACCCATTACAGTTAAGCACTTAGTACCTAATATACTTGCTACATGTTCTTTAAAGTGACTTGTATTTCTTTAATTGACTTCTTGCTGTCAGAAGTGAATACACATATATCTTAGACTTGCACCAGTATGAACAGAAGTAGGTGATAGTCCGTATCTCCTGTATTCCTACAGTTTTCCTAGTGAAGTCCTTAATTAGTGAATGATAATGTAGCTGCAAAGTGTACTATTCACAACATTTAAGCATAGTAGATTCAACATACAAATTTCAGGTGCCACTGTATTGTAACCTTCACTTTGTTACGTTGTTCTGGAAACCTCATCAAGCTTTCTAGATCTCGTTGTCCAGTATACAATTTATATGTTCCTTTACCACAGGGACATTAAGTAACACCTTGTAAGATGCAAAGTGCTATAAGAATACTATCACCATCCTTTCTGGCAAGTTTTATCTATTTAAAAGCATAGAAACCCCTTGCTGAAAGTCTCCCCAAAGACTGTCCTTCTGAGAGCTCACCTGTTCAAGTCTGGTTATAGCTATTTGCTTCTCCAGGTCTTGATTCTTTCTCTCTTTCACCAGATCATAGTAAACTTTTCCCGTGCAGAAAATCACTCGCTTGACATCATGTGGTGCATGGGCTGCCAGCCCGTTCTCAGGAATCACACGTTGGAAAGTGGTACCTAGTTAGAATACAAATTAGAAAAGTGCTCTCAGAGGAACAGACATTGCAAAAAAGCAGCCCAAGAAACAGTCCTTCACTGGGCAACCAGCAGGTTGCAATGGTTATGGGGTTCTGCTGACTCTCTATTCCTACTTTTCAGATAGATAATTCTGCTACAGTGACTTTCAGCAGTTTATTTTCAAGAAGTTAGAATTAGTTTCAAGAAGTTAGAAGATTGTCAATAATCCACTTGTCACACTTCACAAAACATACTGAAGAGCAGCTTCTTTTTTTAGCTTTGTGTTGTGCATTACACCTTTAATTTTTAGTTTATTGGATAGCCCACCTTCGCTTCCCTTTTTTTTCAGAGAATTTTAGTGTGAGGTGTTCCTGCCCATGGCAGGGGTTTGGAACTTGACGATCTTAAGGTCCTTTCCAGCCTTAACTATTCTATGATTCTAATTACCTGAAATACTGTTTCTTCTTTCCAAGATGATCTCAACCATTTAACACTAATACAGGTTTAGAAAATTTTAGAGCATTATTATATAAAAGCATAGCACATATTCATAATGCAACTAAATCTGGCAACTGCAGAAATATTTACACAAGCATACATATTACTGCCATATACTTATGTGATTTAAACGTCTGTTTGAGAGCTAGAATGGCATTAGCCAGAAGAAGAATTAGCACAGTAATGAGCCACAAGTGTAAGTGATAAGATGCAATTTCAGATGCATATGCTCAATGCTAGGTATCTTTTCCCCGGTGATATTACCTCCCAGGAGGACAATTTGCTTGGGATACATGAAACTGGAAGAGGAACTTGATGGTCTAAAAGATCCTTATATGATTGATTAAAACTATTCCCACAGTAACCAACTGCAAGGTAGCAGACAGCAACATGACCTCCCAGTCTGAATCAGCACACCCACATACCAGGAGAATAAGCTCCCATTCGAACCATTTATCTTGGGGGTAGAAAAGCAGCAGCTCAAATATATGAAAGAGGAACTGATTTATGTCAGAATTATCCTGTCTCACTGAACAGCAGAATTCATCATTAAAAAAGACTGAATCTGTGCTACATTGAGTCAGCTGGAGTCAATCTTCCTCTCCTCCTCAGCTTTCCATTAAAAATAGAGCAAAAAGAGTTAGCTGAGAGTCAACAGTACTTTACTACTTCCTTGCCTCTTCAGCGGGAACATAAAAGTATGTCAGAATTCAGTGTTAATTAGGAGTTTGGCCACTATTGAAGATTAGCCTGAAATAGAGGGGACTCCCAAGACAAAATGACAAATCACAATCCCTACAGAATTTCTAATCTGAAATCTGTTGTGACATGGCAGCCACAGAACTGAATATTGTAAAGAAAAATGTGCCCTTCATTCTTCCAAATAGGCACAGTGTGATTTCAACCTATCCATCACATATAGAGGGTGCAGATAGCACACAAAGAACAAGTCAATTTTTGTATGAAGAGAAAGTGCAGAGGCACCTAACAGCCTATTGAGGGGAACATCCCTGCAGAGAGGGGAATGCACTTTCCACTGCCTTTAAGATTAATGATTGGTTATAAGACAAGCCTCTTAAAATTAAGAATCCATACTCAAAAGCTGATTTTTCAGCAAAAGTCCATGCTAGATCTCACACACCAGCTCCACAGAAATTATACCAAAGGAAAAGGCAAACTGTCCGGAGCAGATTCCCTTCTTCACAGCCTGACACATGACTTAACATAGCTAATTATTTGTCCATAATACTTTAAGGTGACCTACCAGACACCATTTCATCAAAACTGGATTTAGCTTCTGGATGCCTCAGCAGTGACTTGGGTGTCAAAATAATCAGCTGTAAAACAGAAATTTTTCCCAAACTCAAGAGCTGCTTTATCTACATTATTATATGCAACATTTGTAGCACTGTTCATACTAAACACACAAACTGAACATGCTACAGATCAAATTAATGTGATTAATGAACAGCAAACACAATATTTTTTCTCCTGTTTTGAATGCCTAGGAAGTTTCAAAATTACTCAAAAGATTGGGGTAGTCCACTCCCTTTAAAGGTTCTCAAGAACTACTGCTTATGCTTCTTTTCGAGAACAAAATAAAATCACAGGTATGAACCAGTAAAACATCCAACAGTTGTATCTTATGTTTTTGAAGTTACACCAATTATATGCAGATTATAGTCACACAACCTATTAACTACAGTGTCTTGACAAGCTCATTTGAAGGCCTGAAAAGCCAGAAAGAAGTAAAACTGAAAATCAAATTTCATAATTGTAGCACATCAGAGCTGAGTTTCATTCCATCAAATCAGCAACTTCAATCTGTGCTAAGATTTTTCACCAGTGATTCTTTTCTTTTTAGCAGTATGCCATATGCAAACACCCCTCCTTATATGAGGGTTAATATACCTCGAATAACCAGGTCCATTATAGTAACTTTACCGGTTTTCTGAATGGCAGCAAGATCTGTCTTCTGAGGACGTGAAAGTAATTGGCTGGAGTAGAACAATTCACCACGATCCAGTTGCATTCATACAGCTGGGAAACTTCAAACTGCTCACTGAACTCCTGAGAGAGACATTAAAGGCATTATAAAAAAAATGCCTACAGGATCAGAAAAATGCACTGGAATGGGTTGCCCAGGGAGGTTGTGAATGCTCCATCCCTGGCAGTGTTCAAGGCCAGGTTGGACGAGGCCTTGGGTGATACGGTTTAGAGTGAGGTGTCCCTGGCCATAGCAGGGGGGTTGGAACTTGATGATCTTAAGGTCCTTTGCAACCCTAACCATTCTATGATTCTGTATTTCTGACTCTCAGCAACTCCATTCCTAAAAAATACTTCAATAGCAGATTCTGATGAGATTGTATGATTAGCTAGGGAAACATCCCCACAAATCACTCTCTTCTGTTTCTACTTCTACCTAAAAATGTATGTAAATAAATGCATAAACCTCCCATTAATTTCAGCAAGGTGGGAAGCCCAGGAACAATGGGCGAGGAGGACTAGGAATTCAGTAGGTGGAAGACACAAAATATAACCCCTTTGAAAGAATCTTAAAACTAGAATTCATTTTTTGAGTGTATAGATAATTCTCCCATTTTTTGGCGTCTCGTCCTCTTAAGTTTTTTAACACATAAATTTCATGTTTTATATTTTCTGTATTTTATGAATATAGGGTGTTTTTATTCATATCTATGTACATATAAATTAGGTAAGCATATATGTAGATAAAGGTACAATGATCTCATTACAGACTGGTATAGCAGCTAACACAATTTCCTGGTCCATGGTTAGAGCTCCTGCCTTCTATGATGAAATTTATAACTTGCTTCATTGTGTGCAATTGTCAGTGCTTAAATGCTGTCAATCAATCAGGTCTTTATTCTGCCAGTTCACTGACAAAAATTACTCTTAGTTGAGAAGCAGCATGGCTTTGGAACGATCATTGCCCCAAGGGTAACAAACTCGGGGCCAAATCTGAAACATGCATTTTATTTTGCCTGTTTTTAAATTGGTGGGCTTTTCAATTAATGTATAGCAGAGTTTTGTAGGAAATCTGCAGTGGGAAAGTGGATGCCCAGTATCCTGTAGAGCTACACAATTTGTCTGTAAAAATGAATGACCAGAGTATGCAGGTCTTAGCTGAATAAAATTTAGTAGTTTCTTATTTTCATGCTTCCTGCAGTATAATTTAGCTCCACTGCAAAAAGCCAGGAGTAGTCTCACTTGGCTTCCTTTAGAAATTAGCTAGAGACACCCCTTTGCAGTATGCACAGCAATATAAACAAGCAGAATCAGTGGCCCTGAGGAACAGCCATAAAAAGATCATGCTGCCAGTGATTAATTGTATGTGACCTCAGCTTTGCAATGAAGCAGCACATACCTCATACTTTCATTACTTTTACTGGGATCAAGTTAATGTTACATCAAGTTCTGAAACTAAATCTTGACCCACTATACCTAGCTAAAAGGATGCTTCTTACCAAAAAATATGTCTAAAATGTGAAGAACAAAACAAGGATATAGCCTTTGACAAATCTACTTACCGGATAAGCATCAGAATCATCATTGCTCATCTGCAGAAACCTCTCAGGCCTGGCTGATGAATGCTCTGGACCCTAGTAAAGGTATCATTTAAAATGAAATTAAAAAGGCACATCATCAATTAGATATCATTTCAGGTCACTAACTCATGAATACCTCCTGTCACCCTGGCAGCTCTGCACCAAGCTGCACACCTGCCCCCCCAGTCAAAGGGCATCAATGGCAGCAGCAGTGAGAAGACACAACACAGGACTGGAATTTTTTGTCTTTCATAAAACATTTTCATATGAGAAGATAAAGTTTCATATGGATTTCCAGTGCTTTTACCAGCTGTAAGTAATTTCTAGCCTCAGTATAGCTGCACAATGAAGACGAATGAAAGGGCAGTTGGGTCCACGTGGGCAGAACAATGACCTTGCTAATGCAGGGCAGAAAGGATCAGGAGGAATGTCAGGAAGAGAAACACCATGTGCCTCAGCATATGCAGTGACTCATACTTCTTTGGACCAAACCACACTTGCATGCTGAGCAGGAGGAAGTACAGTTAACTGCCCACTATCTTCACTATATTAGCAACAAAAGTGGAATCAGGATCTTCCTCCTACCACTGTTCAGTGTTCGTGCAGGACAAAATAGCCTAGATGAATGCTTCAGCTAGAATAAATCAAACTACATGTACAGATTATCTGGCAAACTAACTTATGATTAATTTCTGCTTCTTCGTGTAATGTAAAATACCTTTACATTCCATTCTGTCAAAATACTGAACATTCACAACCACTGTCTCACTAGCAGTACCTAAAGTAATTTCTTTTAGTGACAAACATTGTTAGATCCATTCAATACTAGCAAAACACACATGCTGGTCACAGAATACACAGAAACACACATGCTGGTCAGGAATAAGGGGTGTTTCAGTATCTGTTATCTCCCCTCTCATGTCCTTGTTTATAAAGGATGAGAGAAAGCTGTGAGGAGTACAAGAATGCAGTGTGTTTTTTTATTTATTGCTAATGCTGGCAGCCTTTGCTTGCTCAAGTGACAGTTACTGTTAGGAAGGACTTTCATTTTGGAGACAGCTGCAAAGTACTTTAACCTGAAGACATAAAACTATTACACCTCAATTCTCCCCACAGCTACTAAGCTAACGATGTTCATAAACCAGCTTTTTTCTTTATACAGCTACCTCTCATCATAACTTACTCTGCTGAAACCTTAACATATGATTTGAAAAATCACTCATACAACACATCATCCTCCCTGATTTTATGTGCAGGACTCCAGAGTCCAGAGGATGGCCACAAAGATGATCAGAGGGCAGAAGGACATCTCCTATGAAGACAGGCTAAGAGCTGGACTTGTTCAGCCTGAAGTATCCGGGGAGACCTGAGAGCAGTAGTACATAAAGCGGGCCTATAAGGAATATGGAGAGGCACTTTTGACAAGGGCATGTAGTGATAGGACAAGGAGAAATGGCTATAAACTGAATGAGGGGAAATTTAGATTAGATATGAGGAAGAAGTTCTTCACTGTGAGGTATGTGAAGCACTGGAAGAGAGGTTGTAGACACCCCATCCCTGGAAGTATTCAAGGCTAGATTGGACAAGCTTTGAGCAACCTGGTCTAGAAGAAGGTATTGGAAGGGTTGAAACTAGGTCATCTTTAAGGTCCCTTCCAACCCAAACTATTCTGTAATTCACTATTCCATGGGCTAAGGGACTTCAAAGATAAAATACATGCCCCCTGCAACAAAGGAGTAACAGCCAAGAACTATGCCTGGCACAATTACTCTTGTGAAGTCTGTCTCCACTGTTGAGGTGCCGATCATAGATGGGTAAGGGCTCGAGAACAAGAAGCAAACATGTGCAAAACTATGGCACACAGTAACAGTCCAATATTGCAATACCTCTGCTGCATAAATCTATTTGCCGTAAATCAAACCTACACGAAAAAGTACAACCTATACATGCACAAACATAGTGTTTCACAAGCACACTGAATTCAGTACGCTGGAAACTGAGATGTTACTGGCAAACAATTGCAGGAGGGACATGTGAGGCTTCCCTAACATACACATATATATGCTGCCCCAGTAATAACCTCAATCCAGATCCTCAATGTTCACATCCATCTTTGATTTCTCTGCTGACACTGCCAGTCAGATTGCTAGCAACTGCTGCGTGGGATGGGGTAGGGTTTATTTCTACTGCGACCACCTACCCAGTGAGGCCCATTCTGAATCCATTAGCTACTTTCAGATGAGTCCCCAAGGAACCATTAGGCAGCAGTCTTTCAATCACAGCCAACTTGCCTGTGGATGCATGACCTAGAGGTGAAGGGATCCATACCCCATTACGAATCCTCTCCCAAATCATTCTGCCCCCAACACTGTAGTTACAGAGAGTAACACTCCTGTAATGGAAAGCTCATCTGGGAAGATAACAGATTTCAGTAGGCTGGTGGGATTCTTAAATACTCCAAAACCACCTGACACTAGTAGCAAAATAAGCATGTTTCAGCAAATCCTAGCTGCCAAGTGGCTAAGATTAACTGTATTGTAAGCAGCAGAAAACTAGCTCCCTTCAGCTGAGTGCTTCCCTGCAGAGGTCCACCCCTCCTGCTGAGGGCACAATCAGGCTGTCCCCTCAGAATTTGTATTTTAAAAATTTATTTTATCAAAACTCTTGTGAACAGCAATAGACCCGTTATTCTTTATGCACAAATGGGCACAGAAAGACATTCATAAGATATGAATGCACCCCGGTATATCAGGACAGGATTATAATTGCATGGAAATAAACTAAACTGTTTGTGAGAATGGAAATGACGCAGTTTGTAGTGAAAGGGTCTACAACATTTATACAGATGGAGACTGCCACTGTGGCACATACTATGATTTTCTTAGTAGAAGGCTAGAAACATACATGCATCAATTCATGAATGTTAATACATTTGAAAAGGGAGAAAATTAACCTAGCCTGACATGATGTTCATGTAATGTTTAAAAATAATTTAAAAGATTTGAAGAACAATCCTACTGCGGATATGAACTTCTCATAACATTACATACAAAGTGTGTTCATGCCCCTTCCCACTATGACACTGCCTAGTTCCTTCTGCAAGCCACAAAGAAAAGATTCGACAGCTAGTGGAAGCATTTTCCTTCTCAGAAAGAGGGAAATTTCTTATTATATCACAGTTACTCAATGTCAATGATTTTTGAAGAAGTTTTAGAGCTCTGTAATGCTATTTCACTGCAAGAGAATTTTGTGCAATTTAAACAGACCTACTTCATGCAAAATCAAACCAAGGAAGTAGTACTAGACACTAATGATTTCTTTCTTATTGTATGCTAAGAATCCAGCTTTCTACGGGTAAAAGGCTGCATCTTAGGGAAAGATACAAAAAAATGAGAGGAAAAAAAAGAAAAAAACTGGGGGCAAGTGGTACATGCCACTAAGGAGGACACAAAGCTAAGAGCTCTGAAATACTTCTCAGGTTTTTTTGGTTCTAACCAATCAATCTATACACATTTTTTCTGTAGCACTGAGGCAGTCCAACGTGCTGAATAGTGCCTTCCTCCCCCCAGCTTTGTATCACCATTAATCCCCAAGACATCTTTGGCTTTTACAGACACAGCAAAGGCACAGTAGCCAGCATTTATATCCTGCATAAGCCAACCAGTGGCCCTCACCATTCCTTCCATTCCATGTGGCAAGAGCAGGACGATCCCGTTGTGACGAACCCACTTGGCCTGGCCAGAGCTGATGAACTGGTCTATTATACACTGTGCTGTGTTATGGAAGTCACCAAACTGGGCCTCCCAGCACACCAGGGCGTTGGGACTTGCCATAGCAAAGCCAAGTTCAAAACCTGAGAATCAAACAAACAGAAGAATTAGGAAAGAAACAGACCTGCTGAGAATCCTGTTAATTTCTCATTAAAAAAAAAACATTATTAAAACAAAACCAAAATGAGAGCATGAGCTGGATTTTTGTAGCCCTGCTATAAATTATGCAGTTTTCAGTAGCAGCACTTGCATCAGAAGATTAGCAAATAACATTTTTCCAATCCTGACTCCAATCCTTCAAACTTTTCCTCAAGCATTTCAATATCATAGGAGTTTAAAAATGAATAATTACAACCTCTCCCTACGCTCGAACTTCAGTTTGATGTTTTCCTGAGAGCTCACTGAGGTATATACTATCTTTTCCTGTAAAAATCCACTTACAGTCTATTATTGGACTGTTCAAGAAGCTACTTGTTAATTTTATTACTTGCACAGCCCTGCACAACATTGTCTTTTTTTTTTTTCCCTCTCATGCAGGTGCTGAACAAAATTAATGGTGACATCCATCTTCAGTCAATAGGAAGGATCATAGTCTTCATAGCTTCAAGAAAGCTTGAACATAATAGGTGCATGGCAGATACGTCTGGGGCTTGGGTAAACAATCTTTTCTTTGGCATAGTTAAGGACCCCTTAGGTCTCTGCCTCAGTGGCAGAGTTGATCAGAGGGCTCTTCATGGGCAAGATATCACTGCTTCAGCTAGTGAAAGCACAAAGACATAACCTTCTCCCTCTCCACTCTGTATCAGATATTTCAGGTGGTTTACATAGCAGGTAAGTACAAAAATATCCCCAAACTTGTGCGGTTTGAACTGCAAATTCATCACTCCATACAGAGCAGAAGGGCCACATATTCCCACTTAGTACACCACGTCAGGTTAATACAGCAGGACAAACATAGTGCAGCAGCCCAGCTGACAGCAACTTGGGTGTTGTACACAGAGCAAGCCAGGCAGCTTGCTTTCCACTCTTCAAACTTGCCAAGGACCAAACATAACTGAAAGCTCTTGACAGCCCCCACGACTATCTCTTAAAAGCAGAAACAAATTTTTGCTCTCACTGAGAGACCCGCTGCAGTACAACAAAGCCCCAGCAGTGCAACACGTCCTGGGGAGATAATTGGCAAGAGAGAAAAGCAACCTAAACTGCAATGTAAGCTAGGTAATTGATTTCTAGTAGCTCTGCAAAGGTCAAAGATAGAAAACTACAAGGGTGCTTGCATACGCTATGCAGCCTCTACTGTGTAGCTTTAAAAAACAGGCAGAATTTTATGTCAAATCAAAACATGAAAACCTAGCTGTGTGCAATGTGTACCTGTCTCAGTTTAATGATCACGCTTAAATTTAAAGCATTTTTCCATACCATGTTCCACAGTGAACACCTAAATGCATTCAAAAATATAAAAATACGTATTTGATCTCTGCTCATATTTTTCTTTCACACTTTGATATAGCTAGGCCTGGAGTGCTGAGCAAACATCCGTATGCATACTCTACACCTACAGTTTTGAAATATTAAACCCCCCCAAAAATTAAAGCTCTCAGTAAAAAAGAGTACTACGTAGCACTGCTCTGGATGTTAAGGTTCTGACTGAAGGAAAATTGATTCAATACACATATAGAGTAAACATTTGCTGGATAAATATGGTTTATGTTGATTTTTTTTGAATTCTGCACACAATATAAAGATCTGTTTCCAAATACAGAACTGCAACATGGGAAGACTCCCACTGAAGGCTATACCTGCAGAGCAACTACCTTTGCTGTTGCAAGATTTTATTTAAAAAGCTATGATACTGAGTTGTAACTCTTTCTCGAGTTATGGATAATATTTTCTAGACCCATAGGTGGCTATAAACCAAATATAATCATAGGTCAGGTACCTAATATGCCTCCTAAATATTATGTATCAGTAAAATCCAATACTGCTTTGTGAGCACCAGTATTCAGTGCACTACAATACACTGTTGCAAAGCCATGCTAAAACTCAGAATCACTGGAACTATAGTTTCTAGCCCCGGCCAAGCCTACCATGCAACTCTTCTAATTAGAAGTTTCAGGAAGTTCAAAAAAACTCAGGCTCCATAGAAGATACAAGCTTAGCATCTTGACATTCTCCATACACAGAAGGCTACTCACAGGATCACCTGCAATAGCTGACATCTCCCATATACTTATCATTTGTGATTCATACCCTGGTAACTGGAGGCTGCAGTCCCTCTAGGAGAGCTCAATTTTTGCAATTCAGTGGGTAAGAGAATTACTTCAAAGAGAACTATAATACCAAACAATTATATAAGCAATAACAGAAAAGTACCTGAAGTACCTTTAAGATGGCCTGGCATTCCAAGCACTGAAAGAGTCTCAGGCTATCATGAGGCAGGAGAGAACATGTGGCACATACAGCATATGAGTTACTTTAATGCTGCCAGTGGCAGGTAACTGATGTAGCTACGGAGGAAGATTTCAAGATCAAGTCAAACCTATTCAGACTTTCTTTGTCCTTCTTCTTTTTGTTCAACTTTTACAGTACATTCTCTATCAGAGAGATACTGAGAGATCTAAGCTAAGACTGAGGTCTTCATGTGCTGAACGCCACAGACATACACAAGTAGTTACTTCTCTGAAAGCTTTACCAGGGACAAAAAAAACCAACCCAAACAAACAAATAGGGGCAGGGGGGGAAGAAAAAAAGTAAAAAAAAAAGGAGTGAAGGACAAGCATTCCTGCCTTTAAAAAATGAGAACTAATGAACACGTGGTTACAGAAAGTTTAAACTAACTTGCCCAGTTCCACAAGGAAAACCCTCAACAAAACTAGTGAGAGTAGTCATAAATCAAGGAAGTCCCTCTGTAATAAAAATTACAAGAAACATCCTTCCAACACTTGACATGAAGTTTTGACATAGATCATCTCTGCATGAAACTGAAATTGCTTTAGCTTTGCTCAACGATTATAGCTTAATTGGGACTACAGGATTTCTCCCACTCCAGGATCAGGCTCTTCAGCCAGTGTCAGTATACAGACTTTCCTGGAAGGTTAGCAAAGGGACAACTGCATGACAAATTAACTGTGTAAGACAAAAAGCAACAAGAGCTTCAAGTGAAATTTTTTACTCACGGTGAAAACAGTTTTACATATTGTTTTTATAGTGTGTCTTCACAGTCTACTCTGTTAATTTCAACCCAGCTTTTTGTTTACCAGCAAGAAATCTTTGAGTCACTTGGCTTCTGGATTCCTGAACTCTGAACAGTCCATCCATGACTCCAGCAGATGCTCACGTTCACACCAAAAGGCAACTAGGAAGTTAGAGGCCAAAAGGAGACCGGTAAGTCAGACAGAAGGCCCTTCATCTTTTGAGTCACCATGACAGTGCATTTCCAAAGAGGATGGCTTTTGTTGACCGTTCCTTTGGCCTGAGTGACCTTTCTTTCAGAACATATTTTAAATCTCTGTCCTCCTTATTTATGTGATTCTATTGTTTTTAGCACAATGCAAACAGTGGGGAAAAAAATACACAACTCCTTCAAGGCGTGTTCCCAAAGGTATCTGAAAAACAGATTTCCCTAGATAGGCCTGAATCCCATTCTAATTTTACACAATCATTAAGAGACCATTTCTACTGATTGGGTGACATGCTTGAGGAAATATGCAATATGTTCAGGACTTATTTGTGCATATGCTGCTCTCTGTAAGGATAGGGTAATCTAGCTTTTAGAAAAGAATGAACTGAGGTCTTGACAGCTTAGAGTTACCAATAATTACACAGGGCTTTTCAAAGGGTATGGAGCAATATGCTTATTTAAACCTTAGTCAGAGCACACACATAATCCTGTTTCATATGCCAAAAACACCCCTAAAATTCACGTTAAAAACAGTGTCATTTCTCATTTGCTACCTTGTTGTCACCTTTGTGCCAATAATCTCCACAAGGTGAAAATGTCCCAGGTGAAGCTGCATTAAAGGTGTGATCTTAACACAGATACCTTTTACAAGCTGACAGCCATAAAAATGTGGGAAAATATATTCAAATGTAATCTACACATTCTGATTAATATTTTGAAATTTGTTTTGCCAAGACTACTATTTCACAGAACATATGTTTGTGGTAAAGCCATCACTGGTACACCAGAACTCATTTTCCACCTGGCAAATGACAATGAGAGTTCCTAAAATGAAAGCTATTCCACCAGCGATTATAGCAAGGTATTCTGTCAAGAATTACTTACTCCTACCTGCACGTGGAGAAAATCATATATATATAGATATATATATATATATATATATAGGTGGAAAGTTAGGTTACAGGTTAACAGGTTACAGATTAACATACAGGTTAACAACCCAGGAGAAGGTGAGGCGCTTCTCCTGAAACGGATTTGTTGGGGCACCAGATGAGTCAAGATCAGGGAAGCTGACCTGAGCTAGAAAGACCCCACAGTTCTAGAGATGGGACATGAACATCAGGGGAGCAGGTTTCTACCCAGGCCCCTCAAGAAGGCTCAACCTCAGACCAGAGTAAAGGGTTAAAAAAACTGCAGCAGAGACTTGCAAACTTTTATTGTGTCTGCAGAGACAAGACCTGAACATTTCTTCAGAATTCTATGCAAAGTTTAAAGGAGTAACTCTTACACAGCTAGAAACAGAAAGGCTTAAGCTGTGAGGAAATCCAGCAACAAGACAACCAGGCTGCAAGGTGTAGCTTTCAAAGAATGACAGGTAAAGAATCTGCACACCAAAGGGTGGTGGAGCTACCAGCCAGCTCCTGAACACCAGCCAGCTGCTCAGGGCTCAGCACACCGGGGCACAGGGGACCAGGACCCAGCACAGCAGTTTGGTAAACTTCCAAACTGAGGAGAGAGAGGAAGGAAAAATACACAGCACTTGACTAAGGCTGCAAAACTAATGTTTTAATTGCTGAACTTCATTAAGGTCCCTAGATAACAGGCGCAGCAGAAATGCTTGTTTCTATTAGTCCAGTTCCTGCTGTGCTCCCTTACTGTTCTTTTCGTCACTCTGGAAGAGAA